TGTCTGTTTGTCTGTCTGTCTGTATGTTGAAAGCACGATAGAGTCCCAACGAAACGAGATATTCTCTATAGCTAAGGATAGCCTCCATACAACGGATAGCTACGGATAGCCCCCATACAAGTGGACCCCCAAAAAACATCCTTAATAGGCATATCTGTTTTAAAAGTATGAGTTTTATATGATCCAAAATCTCCCTATCAAAATTTTATGTGGATCGGTCCATAGTTGACCCTAGCCCCCATATAAGGTCCGCTTCAAAAAATTAGTTTAACTCTGATTACTGGCTTAAAATTACTAGTATAACAATGAAATTTGACATAAGTAAGTCTCTTATGATCCAAAATCTCTCTACCAAATTTTATGTTGATCGGCCCATAATTGGCCCTACCCCCCACACTATATCGCTCGTTACTGCCTTAAAAATACGAGTATAGTGATGAAATTCGATACACATAAGTTTCAATGAAGCCAAAATCTCTCTATCAAACTTTATGTGGATCGGTCCATAATTGACCTTACTCCCTATATAAGGTGCCCTTCAAGCAATTACTTGAACGAATATTACTGGCTTAAAAATACCAGAAAAATTATGAAATTTGACACACATATGTTTTATACGAGTTTAAACCTTTCTACCAAATGTATTGAGAATCAGTCCATAAGAAAATTACTTTAACGAACTTTGCTGACTTAAAAATACGTGAACAGTTATGAAATTTTATATAAGAAACATTAACCCTATCTCTTATATAAGGTCCTCTTCAGTTAATTTGATGAGTAATATTACCCTGATGTTTATAGGGGAGCATTCCTTTTAAGGCATACGGTTTGATGGTGGGTATATGAGATTCGGCACAGCCGAATATAACACTCTCAATTGTATAAAATGCCATAATGTCCATGGACATTGTGACACTTTTAAAATAGAAATATATTGTAAAATTTGTTTAGAATTTTAGAGACTGACACTCCTATCCCGAAAAGAATTGCTCCTAAATTTGGTGTATATTTCATTTTGCATTCCTTTCAAATAATGTCCCGGCTTTCGGCTGGGCATTTCGAATACCGGCTTCGCTAAGTTGAGGTTTTTTTGATAAATGGACTCTTTGAAATCCATCGACTTTATAACACATTGCACATGGACATTGTGACACTTTTAAAATTGTCATAACGTCCATAAACATATTGACACTGAACATTATGCCGCACCACCAAAATGTAAATATATTTGTAGAAATTTTGTACACACCCTAATGTATATATAACGGAAACAAAGGAAAGTAAAAATATTCAATTGCTTTATTTTTCCCAAATTATTATTTTTTAGTTCCTCTAATTTCTTGCTCTTTAAAACATACGCATATTTTTAAAAAATTTCATACGATTGGGTCATGTAGTTGTGCTTTCAGCCTTTTTGACGCCTTAAGTATTTTAACAATAAACACATTCAGATACATATATATAAAAAATACATATTCACTAAATCTTTTTTTTTATATTCATGTTTAAAATATTCTCTTTTAACTTCAATTGTGTGTTTTTCTTCACTTATAGTCATAGTGAAAAACACAATTAGTTTTCTTAAGTAAAAGACAATTGGTTGAAAGTACAGGAGTGAAACAATGGTCTCCTTAAACGCCAAAGAAAAAAAAAGCAACAATGAAAATGACGATGATGGTGTTGATATCAACCAACCAGCCAAGTAACCAATATTGTTACATTTGGATTATTGGCACTTGAGGGTCTTTTGTTTCTTAAGATTTTCTTTTTTTTTTTTTTTTGTATCCATGTTTGTGTCTTATTGGTGTCAATTATATTGTGTTTTTTGTAACAATGTTCTTTTGTATGTTTTATTGTCATTAAAAGGACAACCGTTTTAAGTTTCTTGTTCAAAAACAAAATAAGAAAAAAAAGGTTTAGAAATTATTGAAATGTCATTATTGTAATTTTTAACATGCTTTATACTTTTTGATAGATGCAAATTAAGAAATTATAAGTTTTTAATCGGATTTTTTTTTTCAAAGGTTTATTATTGTAGTCATAATAATAAAAAAAGGATAAGATGTATTTTTTTGAAAGCTCCATTTGTGGCATTGATATTTGCCAATATTAATATATAAATTTTATACAAAAAACGTTTTATAACTCTTAATCTACGATTACTAAATCGTTATTATTCAAGTACAAGTCAAGATTAAATTGTATAAACATACATTGAATGAGGTAATAAAACTCATTATTTTAAGACTGCGAGTACTTACCACAATCGCTTACAAATAAGGAATTAAATAAGTTCATAGGAATTCTTAATTTTTATACAAATTTAGTGTTTTCATAAAAGTTTTTAATTTTCATAAAAAAATTTTAATTTTGCAACTGCGACATTTGTAACTGCAGGGTTGTTCAAACCGACTTATAGGTCTGCCGACCCACTGTCCTGTTATTACTGATATATCTCGCCTTTTTCGGGTTATAAAACACCTTGTTTTATGCGTATATCATTGAAAGAAGGCCACAATAAATTGGTCCCTTTTTTAGAAAGAATCTGAGGATACTGCTTTTGATAAAACCTTGATATTGGAACGGCGTTGGAGGTATCAAGAGCAGATCTATTTATTTCCTATCTCATCTGACGATTTATTTCTATAATGGTCCCTAGGACCCAAACATGAGTAATGTCAGACAAGCGACCCAGCTTTGACAGATCTTTCTTGTATTGTCAGACTAATAGAGAAGTGGTAGTATAAGAGTTCGACAAAAAATCCTTTGAACACTAAAGTTGTTGAGAAGACGGTGAGAGATACTTATCCCAGCTTATTTATAGAGGACTTCAGAATTAACACTGCTGTTCATCTTAGAATCATCTGTAAAGATTCGGGTGCCAGATTCTCTTATAGACATAATATCATTAATCGCATCTGGGACCATTCCTAGTACGAGTATTACAACATCGTATGCGTAAGCAACGACTTAATCCTCTATTTTTAAGGTTTATAAAAATCGAGATAACAAAGTAATGGATAATTTACGCCGCCTTGTGCTTTGCCTCGTTCTACTTTCTTGGACTTGAGGCTGTTACCAAGACAACATAAGTATATGTTGAGCCTGTTGAATTTTTACGTTGTATTTACGTTACGTTGAAGGCTCATTCTATATCTAAGAAGGGAATTCGAGGGATCTTTCTATAACTCGGACCACCTCATGTAGATCTGTCTCTGTAGATCTACCTTTAAGTTAACCATATTGACTTGTTGACAGCCTCGATGAACCATCTAGTCGTTGCCTAATATGTGAGTCGTTGACTTTTGCCAGCTTGGGAATAAAATCAACCTTAATCTTTCTCCAATTGACCGTAATATGGTTGAGAGAGAGAGAGAGAGAGGCAGAACTTGAATACATACATTTATGCCAAAATACCATCAGGTTCCGATAACGATTTCGTCTACAGCAGTAAGTCGTAAGTCTTTCTCATTCTCATGATTACTTTTGCCAGCTTGGGAATAAAATCAACCTTAATCTTTCTCCAATTGACCGTAACATGGTTGAGAGAGAGAGAGGCAGAACTTGAATACATACATCTATGCCAAAATACTCTCAGGTTCTAATAACGATTTCCTCTACAGCATCTTTGCACCCAGATAAATGAGTATTTAGTAGGATATCAAGACATTCTGTCGTTCTTCCTTTTAATACAGATTGGATTAGATTGGCCTTTAGCAAGAATTTAGCTAAGTCTAACAGAGTCATTTATGTTGTCCACAGATCCGCTGAAGCTTCTGCATGAGGTTCTTTTTATGATTGCTTAATTATACGCTTTAATTTTTAACGGTATGGCTGGCACGATTGCGCTGAATCCGAATTCCTTCATCACATCTGAGATTCAATATATCGATGTCTTATCGCTGCCATAATGGCTCGAAAATGTGTTTTTCAAACTTCAGCACATGATATCTTAAATCAGATTTGGATTCAAATCAGCTCAATCCTTTAGAAAAGTATAACATAGTCTCAGGGTTTCGACTTTTATCAAATGTTGACGGCTTGTGTTAAAGATCTGTGTATTTCTTTACGTACTTTAGGAGAACAAATTTTCTGTGCCTTAGTGTTTATGGAGTATTAAGATTTAAAATAAAATCAACTTTACGTTTCTGTATTTCATTTGTATGATAAGTAGAATCTATCCGTAAACTTAACCATAATGCATAAAGATTTTTTTTGGAAACAAATCGTCTTAGACGAGTATCTTTTTAGCTTTACTAGACTTTCGTATATACCAGTTTATTTGATTAGATTGTTAACATTCATATTTGTATTTAAGTGTTATATTAACAATTTTTACCACTAAGTAAATGTTATAAACACCATATCCTTTGCTATAAATAACAATATCGAAAAAATAACCCCATATTATTTAAGACTTGAACCGCCAAAAATTTAACACGTTTTACACCACGACAAACTGTTTATGTCCTGGATAATTCGAAATGCAAATTACGAAATAGAAAATTCGACAAGAATAAGAAAACAATAACAAAGGTGGTGAATATAAAATGCCGCTAGAAAAGGAAACTAGAGAACAACAAACAATGCAATCAATGAGCAGGCGTGAGTATTAAAAAGGAAACTACAAAATATTTTTGTTTATAAAACACAACATTAGAGAGAAAAACGAAAGGGTGCGTTTCATAAAGCGAGTACAAATAAAAGGAAAGAAAAAGCACGAACGTAAAATTTTAGTCAATATTGAATTTAACTAAAATATAAAAATATACGAATGAGTAAGTGATGAATTTTAGAGAGAAGTGAGAGAGAGAGAAAAGAAATTAGTGAGGAGAGCTTAAAGGCCGTTATAACGTTAACGGTACTTTTGTGCTGCTTATTTAAACTAAAGTGTGTAAGAGTGTGTATGTACGAGTTTAAGTTTTTGTTTGTGTAGAAATGAGCAGCACAATTTAACAATAACCAGTGACAGAAGGATAATATTGAAAAATCAAACGATGTGTATGACTATTTGTGAAGACGACGAATAAACTTCGCATTCAGTTTGAATTGTGTCCTCGTAATGAAAGGATATTCGTTACATTGTTATTAAGTTGTTATTATTTTGTTCAGTCTAACAAAAAAGAAGAAAAAAAGTTTTAAAACAGAAATTATATATGTAAAATCAAAAAATTCTAAAAAAAATAAAATCAAAATAAAAGAAAATATTCTTTGAATGAAAATAATCTAAGAAAATAAGATTCACACTAAAGTTTTGTTGTTTTTTTTTGTAAGAAAGAAAAGAAAGCATCTTTAGTCTAACACTACTACAACTTACTACCACAAGCCGTATACAAATAAAGTTCAAAATTTTATTAAAAAAAAAAACAAAATATTTTTTTTTATTACAATTAAATAAATAATTTATTATTAAAATAAAATTATATTTAAATTATAATCAAAACGTACTGGCAAAGGAAAAAGTGTGAATTAAAAAAAAGTAATCAAATAAATAAAGAATTCTTAAAAATAAAGAATATAAAAAATTAATTAAAGTTTAAAAAATCAAAAAAATAATTAAAAGGTAGTGAGTGCAGTTTATGGTTTTTTGTTTTTAAAAAAGTGAAATTTTTAAGTTTAAGATAAAATCTATACTGTCTGGCATTAACAAGTAAGATTTTAAACAACTTTTTTTAAGTACAAATTTTAGGCTGAGATTTGTTAAGTTAAAGAAAAAAAATTTAATTTTTTATTTTTGTAGCATAAAATGCATTATAAATATCTTGAAGAAGAACAAGCAATGATTTTTAAACATTTCCTTAATGGCAAATCGATTTTTGTATTGCAAATTTACGAGCAAATTTTATTTACATATATAGGCGAATATCTTTATATATGTTTATATATGTATAGAATATATAGAAATATATGCAATAACAAACAATTGGTATATATTTATGTCTGTTTATATACTGGTAGCAATATTCTTACATATGCGTATCTTATGTACATATATTTATGTTATATGATTTTACATATATAACTGATATTTTATGTTTCTGTTGTATATAAAAACATGCATATAAATATTTAGGTATTTTCATACATAGAGTTTTTATATTCAGACATTTTATATAAACATTGGTATGTACTATATATACATCGGCTTATACATGCAAACATACATATGTATATATGTATGTGTGTAGTATAAAGTGGAAACAAAGTCATTAAACGTTTAAAACAGCATGGGAGTTGTTGCAATGTTATTTTTCTTCGGTTACCATAATACGATTTCGTTCTTTGTTCTTACTTTCAATGGTTTTTTTCTTTGTTATTATTACCACAACTTCCTTTTCTTTGTCTATTTGCTCTATTGTAAATATACATATGTTTATAGATTTTTCATATTTTTTATAGACATATACATACATATATGTACATACACATATAAAAAAACATAAATTTTCCATATATGTATATGTATATGACTCCTTATATACATCATTATACGCTTACGACTGACTGATATGTTTTTTTGCTCATTGCATAAAAACCGGAAACTTACACATCAATGATTTCCGTTTAAAATAAAATGGCAGAAAATATCATAAAAATACACAATATTTCGCCATTACAACAACAGCAACAACAAAAAATATACTCATATCTATATAATTTTAATATTAAACACATGTTTCAATATATATATATATATATAAATTTCATGGCTGCAGACAACCTTCTTTTTTATTTAGAAAATAATAAAATAACAAATTGTGTTTTTTATTATTTTTATCATTTTTAAATTTACAAATGATGTGTAAAATGCTTACGAGCTTTTAGAAGAAAATATATCACATTTGGTTTCCTTCCTCTCATACATGTAAACCTTTACCTTTCTATTCAGCTGCCTTCCCCCTATCTACCCCCCCAAAAAAAAGCAATAAAAGTTGCGTTTCTTTATCCTTGTAATATAATTATTTTTTCTAAACACATTTTCTGTTTAGCTCCTTGGTAGCATCGTAAAGATTTAGCAAGCAGCCTTATTTACCAGCAGAAAAATGATGTTATATACATTTATATATTTCTCACCTTTATACATTTCTTTATATGTTAAAGTTCTCATATTTCAAAATTTAATTTATTTTTTTTTTCACATTTTTACAAAAGTAATATAATCAACTCGTTGCGTTACTTAGATATCAGGTGTACAATGAAAATAAAGTTTAAATTTTTTTGTTTAAATAATAATACAACAAAAATGAACAATTTAGCCTTTAACTAAATTTGAGAAAAATGAGAAAATAAATTTAATTAAAATATTAAATTTTAAGGGTCTTATTCATAAATTTTTATCAAAGCTTTATAAATCAAATTTTCATACAAAATTTGTTCTATAAACCTTTAATAAGTGGTTATGAATAAGCCTGTAAATATAAAAATATATTTTAGAGATGATTTATCATTATGTATATACAAAAAGTATTTTTTAAATAATTTAGCTTAAAGCTATTTTTTATTGGAATTATAATTTGATAGAAATTTGAAGTTGTGGCAATTTTAGGAATTTTATATTTTTTATAAAATAATAGTTTTTACCATTTAAGCTCAACTTATCAAGAATTTTGTTGACTTCTAGGGTATTAGAAACAAAAGCTTTAGTAGCCATGTTTGCTAAGAAAAAACCTATTATTGTTGTCTAGAAACATTTGTTGAATATTTATAAAAAGCCAGTATAATGTAAATTTTTTTTTGAGAATTAATATCAGAACTTCACTACTGCGGATTGTTACACCGTCCGACACTCAAAATTAGACACAAACTGGATGATATATATCTAAAATTATAAATATATAAAACTGCATATTTAGTTTTTCATTTCATGATCCTGTGTCCTTTTTAAAGGACTTCGAAGTTCTAAAAATATCTATTGATCCAAAAATGCCAAATTTGATGTCAAGCAAACAAGAACAGTTGCAAAATATTTTTTGTTATTTTTATTTTATTCTGACAGGATCAAAAGAGGCTAATAAATATTTTTGACATCTTTTTATACTGACAGTATAAAATAAAAATAGTACAAAATATTTCCCAACTCTTCTTGTTCGCTTGACATCAAATTTGGCATCATTTGATCAGTAGAAGTATTTTAAAATATTTTTTGAAAAATTTACTTTTCAAAAATTTTGAAGTCCTTTAAAAAGGACACAGAATCACGAAATGAAAAACAAAAAACGCAGTTCATGTCTAACGAATTTTTCTCTTTTTGTCGAACGGTGTTATATATGCTTTTATCAATTTGTCAAAATTTTAGTTTTAAAAAAATATTCGAGGGACTATATTCAATAGTCTCTAACTGTCATTTTCATGAAAATAAGATTTTGATGCCAAAATATCCAGCACACTATCCCGCATTCGTGACATAAATTTCAAAAGAAAATAATATTTTTTTTCGTAATTTTATAGCAATTTTTAAATTTCTCTATCTTAAAAAAATAAAAAATTCTGAATGCAAAACTCTCTATCTTATCCAAAAATTGCTTCAAACTCTGTTATTATATTTTAAAAATTTTATTGATTTCAAAAATCAAATGAAATAAATATCCAAATTTAAAGAAAAACAAATAGATTTTTTTCATAAATCTTTTTAATGTTTTTCGTGATGTTTTATAAAATTTAGAATTAAAATAACCAGTTTTTTATATCTTTTGTTTAAAATTATGTTAACGCAAATAAACCAATCTCCAAATTTGAGTTTGAATTTGTCAGCTAGCTCTATATAAGTTTGGCTCAAACTTGTATATCTTCATTAATATTGCTAGTGTTTGTTTATGTTAAAAACGAGGAGATAACTGCTTTTACTTCTATAACTTCATATGTATACCATTTTAACATTGAAAACAAATTAACATTTCCTGCCTTTGGGTTATTTTACAAAATTTCTATTTACATCACCGTGCAACAGTCATTTTCACACGTAAAAAAATCTATGTGTACAGCAAACTATTGACCATTTGTATTAACTCTGTGTACTCAGTTTTTCATAATCATAAGAGCTGATTATGAAAAACTGAGTAAAATGTTCTTAAAATTTAAAAGACATACGATTTCAAAAGATGGAATTCCAAATTTATATAAAAAATTTGGTATTAATATCAAATGAAGCTGACAATCTCCGCTGCAAAGTAATATTATTTATTTCAATTCATCAGGATTAAAAATTAAAGAAAATTTAGCCAAAAAAAAAGTATTTAAAAATTTTTGTTTCAAAAATGAGACCTTTTTTAGATTTTTTGTCTAAGTGAGTCAAGTAAGTAATACAAATAGAATGTACAGATTCCCAGCTTTCATTTGATATCAATATTAGCATAATACAACACATACAACTATTTAAAACATTTGTTTGAAATTGTCAATCCTTTTAACTTTGGAGTCCTTTTATAAGAACATAAGAGCTGATTGTAAAAAACGGAGTATGCAGAATTGCTATAAATGGACTTACTCATGCATATCAACTTTTCTATGTGTGAAAGCTTTTTTTTCAAAATTGTTACAGGGTGTATTATAGTTTAGACTACAAAAAAATTTTCTATGAATTATGTAATTATTTGAAAATATTTAATTATCAAATATTTATATAATTTTTTGTTGAAATTATTATAGAGAATTGAGTGTTCTTTGTGGAAACCAAACTTATACTAAAAATGTTTAACAAGAAAACATAATTTTTAAAAAGGTTATTTGATAATTTTCCGAAAAATTATTTTGGGAATACATATGTACAATTAATGCCTTAAAAACTACATAAAAGTTTCTTAGAATTAATCACATACAAATTCATATTTCAAAATTCATATTTCATAACTTACATAAGCAATGAAATAAGCTTTTACTTGATGAAAATTTCATATATGTATTTTCTATTTAGATTTAGTAATTATAAACGAATTCTAAAAATTTTTCTGAGAAATAATAATTCAAAATATTTTTTCAATTACACTATTCAATCGCTTATTCTTATTTAAGCGAATTAACAGAAATTTGTTAAATTAATTTCATGAATAATTGATTTAATAATAAATGTAATCAATACAAGGTTCAAAAAATTTAATAAAATTGGAAATTTTTAAATGCTTGTTATTTACTCAAATTCATTTGGGAGATATGTAGTATATTAGGGTGTCCCGTGGATCACTTTTTAGGAGGAATACCTATAATATAAAATGATGAGTTTCAATGTACAAATACAAGAAAAATAATAATAAAAACATTTTTTTAAAGGTTCTCAGTTACCTACCTGGGATTGAAAATCTTGATGTCTTGATTGGGTATCAAAAATTCTGTAATTTTGAGTTTATAACTGGAAAAATAATTAAAATTTTAGTTAGAGTATTTCTGGTCCGCAAAACGACTTTTATTGTATTATAAGAGACATATAAATTTAAAAAATCGAAAAAGTACCAAATACCAAACAATTTTTAAAAAAATTACGACAATTTTGACATCCATTTCGATAAAATGCGAAAACAATATGCCTCTACAAACCACTAAAAATCATTTTGTTGACCAAAAATGTTCCACAAAAATTTTAAAATGATTTTTTCTTTTACCAGCTAAAAATTAAGAAATTTTTGAGACCCATTTCAAAAAAATCTAAAATATTTTTTTTCAAAAATTATACTTAGGTCAGGATTTTCAATCGCTGGTAGGGAACTGAGGAACATTCCAATTAATGCGCAACGATTGAGTGGTATTTCTACATGAAATTCTTAAAAAGGCTGTTCCTCGGGACACTCTAATGTATATTCAGTATTTTATACTTTAAATTAATACTAAAATTCTTAATTGTTTAAAACTTTTCATTTTGAAAAAAACTAAACTGTTGATTCCACGAATTTATATAAATTCTGGCGAAAATATGAATGTGATAGTTATTCAAATGAATTTGAAAATTTGTGTGTTTTTTCACAAGAATTGATTTAACTTAATTTTTTGAAAAAATTTCTAGAAAAGCAGAAAATAAATTGAAAATTTAGCTTTAAATAATCTTAATTCGTAAATTTATATGTCGAAAAATAACAGCACTAAATTCGGCTATGCCGAATCTTATATATCCTTCATCAAATAAAAAAGAAATAATTCGATCAAATAATTCTTTTTCTAGATCTAACAAATGAAAGATCTTTTGAATACTTTTCACTTGAAATATTTGAAGTCTTACTGCAAAAACTTTAAAAATGTTAGAATTTTTTCTTTAAAAATGTTAGAGTTTTTTAAATGCTATTATTCTTACGAAGAAAATTCTTTAAAAAAATATATTCATAGAATCTTATAAATCAACATCCGTTATCAATAGTGAGCTTACCACGTTTGTTAACTTTTAGACAACGGATGTGTATAAAATTTAGATTTTGACAACGAATTGTTGCAATGTTGACAACGTTGCGTTGTTAACATTACATAGTGTTGTCGTACGTATGAACATACTTGACAAGGAATGTTATTAAAAAATGTTGGTGTCAATTTGGTACCAGGCGTGTATATTTTCTTGACTAAAACTATTCAAATTTCACCTTGATCTTGTTAATAATTATACCCAGCATGTTTAACAGTTTATTTCTCTAATTATTCATTTTTTTTTAATATTTCGTTCTACAATAACTTTTTAGAACCAACTCTAATGCATATTGTTTTTTTTTTTTTTTTTTAATTTTTATATTTTAATAACTATTTCATAAATGCAAATTGCATATGAAATTCAATAACACTAGAAACTAACAGCAATTTTAAATAAAATAATGTAATAAACTTTTATTATTTATATTATTATTTCCTTGAAATATTGTTCTAAAGTTAAATCAGATTGGAAATTTTATAAAATTAAAAAAAGTTTAAAAATTTAATTGATTATCACTAACAAGTTTAGTAATCAAAATTTTATTTTATAAAAGGTTTATAAAACAAAATTATTATACAAAATTGGATTTATAAATCTCTTATAAAGTAAAAATTTTCCAAAAACAAAAATCCGCTTTATTATAGTTTTTAATAACATATTACAACTAAAATTTAATTATTATTCCTTAAATTATTTTAAAATGTGCTTAAAAATTTCACTTTATAAAATTAACATTAGTTGATTTTTATCTATTAAATAATTTCATCTCGTTTAGAAATTTTTTTAGTGCGCAAATTCTTTCATAAAAAATTTGAAAATAAATAACAAAATTATTAACTCTCAACTATTTCATTGGTCTGTGATAAGTGAAGGTCAAGCTAAATAAAATTTTGTTAAAAATATAAAAACAAAAAAAATTTAAATAAAATTTTGCTCCTCTCCCTTAAACTAAAACACAATTTTTTTTAGCAAAGTTACACATTTATGTTAATTAAACATTTAACACAAAACACAAGTGCGGTTTCAGTCTACCAAAAAAATAAAAAAAATTTTAAACAAATGCGTAAAAGTTTTGGAATTATTGAAATAATAAGCAATATTTCCATAAATAAATGAAACAATTATAAAACACATAAAAACCACATTGAAAACAAAACTAACATAACAACAACTAAAAAAAAGTACGTGAACCATATACAAAAAAAAAACTTTTTGTAAAACCAAATATTTTAAAAACAAACAAATATTTAATTAACTGCCTAAGCAATAGTGCAAATTATCCCTCGAACAACACAAAAAAAAAAAAAAAGGAAAATCATTTAAAACTTTAATTTTTCCAAAAAACATCAAATTGTTTTAAACAACAGGAATTACTACCCCGAAAAAAATTAAACGTAAAATTCTTTGTTTCATTTTCGTATACAAATAATTTGTTATTGCCATCAACGCGAACATTTTACCACTTTGTAAAACCACAACATCCACATCAACATCAGCTACAAACGTACGTACATTTATACCTACAAAAAAAAATATATATACATACATATAAAAACAGATTAGTACACGTCTGCATACATTTACATGTTAAAAGCATACTACAGCTAGAATTACGAATAACGGCGCCTATACCACTACTACGGCTACCAGACAACTACTAATTCTACAGCTACTAACTACCACTGCTACTAAACATTATTACTTCAATGACTGTTGTGTGTTGCAAATAAAATAATAACAACACAGGAAAGCACTCGTTAATCCCGTCTATAGCAAATATATGTACAAACTCACACACTTGCACATTAACATACGTGAACATTATAGAATTAACATTGTTGTTGTAAGTACATGTGTGTATGAAAAGTATTACATTGTATATGTGTCTAACTGTAACTTGACCGCAAAACATCAAAAGTATTACAAACTAAAACAACAACAAAATTGTAGAATACACATCTCTAAATAAAAATTTAGAGCGAGAAAAAAGTAAATAAACAAACGGTTTAACCAAATAACAGTAAAAACGAACTAACTCCTACACATACACCAGCTAACGCGACACAACATCCTTGTGTAGGTGTACAGTAAACGAATATAAAAACAACAAGCAAAAAAAAAAAACGAAAAACAAGAAAGTTGAAAAACACAAATTCCGAGATAACAGAGAACCCAGTGTTGTTTAGCAAAAGCAAAGCAAAAATGTTGGCAATGCCCACACTCATGATGCCAGCCACAGCACAAATGACGCTTAGCAGTCAACCACTATCAGTTGGTGCCCCACATGCTAAACCATACGAAACTAAATTGCTGGCCATACATCAGACTCATATAACACAGCAGCAGCAACAGCAAACGCATCAGCAGGCCAACAATACCAAGCAGCAACAGCAGCAACAACAACAGCAGCAGCAACAACAAATGTCGGCTAGTAGTCAACAACAGCAACAAGCCCAACAACAGCAGCAACAACAACAAGTCGCTGCTGCCCAACAACAGGCTGTTCAACAACAACAGCAACAGGCCCAACAACAGCATCAACAACAACAGGCGGCTGCTGCCGCTGCTGCTGCTGCTTGTATTGCCCAACAGCAGGCTGTAGCTGTGGCTGCTGCTGCAGCTCAACAGCAACAACAATATCAAATACATTCTCAACAACAATCACCACAACAGGCATTGAGTGCTTCACCCAAACAAGGTAAGTGTTTTTGCTTTTTTGTTTGTTGTGTGGAATTTTCAAAAAATTTCAGGTTCTTCTTTTTTCTTGTTTTCTTTGCTTGTATGTTTTTCGATGCAAGTGACTAGAACAAAAACAAAACAATTCAATACCCCCACCTCTGGTTTTTGTCTTGTTTTCAGTTGTTTTTTTATCGGTGTGTTAAAGAGTGAAATTATTCCTTTAGAGAAATTGTTTAATGTAATTTATATTTTCATGTGAAAACTGTATTAAGAGTTTGTAAATAGATTTCTATTATATACTCTAGCTAAGTCTAAAATGATTCGTATATCGCACAGATATGTTTGATAAAGATCCGTTAAAATCAGGTTCTTTTCAGTCTCCATTAGAAACATGTAGTATAGTTAAAGTTATATAGTTAGTTTTTATATAAACTAATTAAAATTTAATCATGATAGAAACCAAATAATCTTAATTTAATTATCAAAAGTGTTTGTGATATGATTTCTTATAGAAATATAATATGATATTGTCGAAGTCTATAGAATTTTTAAAACCCTTTCAATCTGTTAAATTTCAGAACTGATAATACTAGAGAAAAATTTGCAATAATGAAATATATCACATGATACTTCGCAATAACTTTTACACTGGCTTGGGGGCTAAAGATTAAATTTTTAAATAGAATTACATTTGCAGTAATTGTAATTGAAATCTTACCAATTACAATTACATGTAATTTAAGTTTTAACAATTATAACTAATTGTAATGAGTAATTGATCAATATCCAATTACAATTACATATATTTGTTATTGAAGTTCTGACAATTGAAATTACTTGTAATTAAATATAAAAGTAATTGGTAATTCCTAAACTACAATTAAAAGCATTTGTAATTGTCAAAATTTCAATTACAGTCACAAGTATGTAATTGTAACTGCCAACACTTTTATTACAGTTACAAATAATTTTAATTGGTTATTTCACAATTACACATTACATGTAATTGTAATTTACATTTTCAATTACAATTGCTTGGACGACAACAATGAATTGCTTTCTACAATCGATACAATAACTTTTACACTGGCTTAGGGCCTAAATATTATATATTTAAATAGAATTACATTTGCAATAATTGTTATTGAAATCTTACCAATTACTTGTAATTGAAGTTTTAACAATTATAACTACTTGTAATGTGTAATTGGGCAATATCCAAATTTTATATATATTTGTTATTGAAGTTTTGACAATTGAATTGAATATAAAAGTAATTGGTAATTCCTAAATTACAATTAGAGTTACAAGTATGTAATTGTAACTGGCAACACTTTTATTACAGTTACAAATAATTGTAATTGGTTATTGTTCAATTACACATTACATATAATTTACATTTTCAATTACAATTACTTGGGTAATTACAATTAATTGCCTTATATAATCGTTACTTTGCAAGCCTGCTTTGATATTAGAAAAATAATTGAAAAGTTGTTTTTAGTTAATTAGGAGAACTATTTATTTAGTAAATAAATTTTAATATCAAATCATGACGAATGATTGAATACCTTTGAGTATCTGTAAAGAATTAACACATACACACTAGAGAGATAATGCTAATTACTATATAATAAACATATAAATAGGCGAATACAGATACATACGCTAGTATATAAATGCATATCGCTTAGTTACTACAAAACTGACATAACTATAAAATCCATTTGATGTACGGAATTCTACGAAATATGCTTGAGAAAAAAATATATATTATTTTCGGTGTGATCACATTAGTTACACGAACACATATTTGGTAAACGTTTTTCTCTAAACTGACTTTTTTGAGTTATGACAGTTTTTTAGGAAATGGGCGATGAGTATATGAGTACATTACTAAACACACAATTTGATATTTAGGATTCTTTTAACTAAAATTAACTTAAAATTCAGGAGTAAAATTTTAATAATTATTTCAAAGCAAAAACTCGTTGTATAGTTCGATAGTTTCAGTAAAGTGAACTTATTAACGCATGAGTCATTGTGGTTTTCGGCAAATTCTAGATCAGGTAAACTCAGTGTAAATATGACATACTAATCTTTTAAAAATTTCCATTGGAAGAATTGTGCAGATTATTAGTTTTTTAATTAAAAAACATAATTTATTAAAAATTTTCTAGAAATAGAAAATTAATGTAAAATTTTTTGAAATAGAAATTTATTCAAAACTCACAAAAAATCTTCATTATATTTATAGAGAACTCAGATATCAAACATTTCTACAAATAAACATTAAACAAACATTTTCTAGAAATATAGAAAATTTTCAATAAATTGAACATTTACTAAAATAATAGAACATTTTTCTATAAAAAGAAAATTTAGTGAATATTTTTTTATAAATAAAAAAGATAAAAATATTTGCTATAATTTTCTGTAAATAATAAATTAGAGAACATTTTTCTAAAAACAAGTAGAAAATTTTCTACAAATATAAGTTTTATATTTAGTTTCAATTTTCTTGTTATACATAATAAGAATAATATTAAATTTATAAAAAATGTTAACATTCACTCACTTAGCTTACCAAGGGAGCGTATGATTGATGTGTAATTCGGAAGTACTTTTTAATATAATCTACAAACAGGGTTGGCAAATTAAATTTTAAAATTTTAGCAACAGCATGAAGGATAATGCTCTAATTGTAACAAATCACATTGTTATACCCTACACCACTATAGTTTGGAGGGCATTATGAGTTTGTGCTGATGTTTGTAACGCACAAAAATACTGGTCCTACACTTAAAGTATACCGATCGACTCAGAATCATTTTCTGAGTCGATGAAGACATGTCCGTCTATCCGGCTGGCTGGCTGGTTGGTTGTCCATGTAAACCTTGTGCGCAAGCTACAGACCACAATTTTCAAGAAGTTTTAATAAAAAAAATATATATACAAAATATACAAAAAGTAGTATTTCTAAGCATCACATTGTATTAAAAAACTACAATTGTACTAGATTTGCCAACCCTGCCTAGATGCCTTATTATACAATTAAAAATAATATACTAAAAAAATCACAATTTTCACGTTATAATTGAATTGATTTGACAGGTGTTTGATTTTTTTTCTAGTCTAATACTTCGACAAAATCCTACCAATCATTTGCTACTTAGACTTATAAATAAATACTTTATATAAGTATATATTAAATAGTACCTACACATTTATAAATATATATACCAAGAACCTATGCTTCATTCTTTTGACATATTTACGTATGTATGACAATATTATGTAAATAATAAGAATACCAATTTCCTATCCAACAGTGAACTTTTACTTAAAGAAGTTCTTTTTTTTATTTCTTTTATTTATTTATTTTTTTTCCAAGATATTTAAGCTGGCTGATAACAAATGCCAAAAGCAGTTACAAATTTTTTTCCCCCATTTGTGTAGAACAGAGTATGTATAAATTTACAAGTCTTTTTATATAGTACTTTGTTAGACGAATATATAATAATATGAAAAGTAAATATACATATATATGTATATAATAAAAAAGAAAAAAATTTCGTAACAACATCAGTCAATGTCCTTAAGGTTTTCAATTTTATTTTTTGCTCAAATATTATCATAGATTTATTCTCTAAGCACTCTATTGAAAGTAGGTAAGTGTTGTTAGTTTGTTATTTGACTTTTACTATAAAAGAGAGGGCTTGCTATAAAGAACACATGTAAATAGTGCACTTGAAATAGTGCAAATTATTATTAGAAATCATTTAAATACTTATATTCATATTTTGTTTAAAACAATTAGTTATACACAGCGTATACGTAATATTTAATATACCTCACATATTAAATATTCATCATACGCTTCTTGAGACCGAATGAAATTTGTACTTTCAAGCAACATATTAATCTATCAAAATAGTTGAAACTGTTATATGTTATCAATATTTTAAACTATATATCGAATTATTGTGGACCCATTTCTATATTATGTTTCTTAATATTTCAAAAATAAATCTAAATAAAAATATATGTTGTGTCTTGAACTAAATATAATAGACAAACTTGTACCTAACTGAACCTTATGTTGCTTTTTTCTATAATTTTGATTTGTTTTTTTTCCCATCTCTGTATAAGACAAATTCATTGTTTGCTTTGTTAAGGAAAATAATAATAAAACATTTTTAGCAATAAGTTTACCAAAAAAATATAAAGACAACTACAACAAGCACATATAAATATATATGTATAAACAAAATTGTAAGAATAAAATATATATAAATGCATGAATATAGAAAGAAGAAGAGATAAAAAATGTTTGGTTGATTTGTCATACATTTCATGTGCTTTTACTTTAATAAATTACATAAATTTTTTTCTGCTTAGTTTTTTTTTTCCTACATAAGAAAAGTCTAGTCTCTTAGTATTAGGAATGTGTTTTTTTTTTTTCAGAAAAAAATGAATGCTTTAAATAAGGACATAAACATTTCTTTGAACATTTAAAATGTGATTAAAATTAATGCTTGAAATGTTTTTTATAGGTATTTCTTATTTTTATTGAAGTGTATGTGTTTGTTTATAATAGATATTTTCTTATTTATTTAAATAATATTTATGTTTATATTTTTTATAAATTAATTACTAAAGCAAACAAGCTTATGAGAAGAATTATTATATGATTCAAATGTAATTACGTTTTAACAAACACATAACTAAAATTTGTATATGTGCCTACCTATACATTAGTCCAAACAAGAAAATTAAAAAAACCTTCTAGAATGTTAAAAAAAATTCTCTGACAATAACTAAATATCACTAAATTTTATTATTTTTTAATCGTATTACAGTATTAATGTATGCCTTAAAGTATGCACTACTTTATCTATCATCATCATAGCATCACAAGTTCCTGGAGTGTTCACGAAAAATTTTTAATATTCAAAATAATAACTTAAATAAGATAGGAAATATTAAAGGAAGATTTCTGTATTATTAGTTCTGGCAGCATTGGCCTATTAATAGTCACAAGTTCTTAAACCATTCTGAAAAAAACTTTAAATTGGACAGTCTAAAGTTAGTATGATACGAGCACATCTATACAAAATTGGCCGCGCGGATTCAGACAAATGTAGAGCTTGTGGAGAGGACAGT